CGAGGTTGTTGCTGCGAGTTGTGAGCGCGCTCGTTCAAAACCATATTGCATAGTTTGTTATCGGTAATCAACTCTGGTCTTAAAATTTTTATGAAAAACATGGATTAGCCATGTTAATACAAATTTGGGACCCCATTTCATCTACCACCTATGTTCAGAGCCCCCAATATCCCTGATGGACACAGAAAGCATGAAACTGTAGTCCATGTGACAATTATTGAACCACCTGCGGCCATCAGCATGTTGTTGCATCAATGTGGGCTCCTATATTGTTCCGGGGCCAACTGCGCGGGCCAGAAGACCTCCCGTGTCAGGGAGGGGAACAATATGAATTGATATATCATTTTAATGATCTCTCGACCAACCATATGCCGCCCCCTGTCGCCAGAATGGCAGCCAGAAGACACTTCGCGATGGGAGGGAGAGGCCCTTCAGCCCTTAACCGGAGCCAGTAATGTGCTCCTGGTGTTCCACTCAAGCGGACCCTTGCCCGGAGGGAAATAAGGGGTGTCATTATTGTTGAGTAGAGTGGAGTTCTCATTATTGTTGAAAAGAGTGGGTCAAAATAGATTGAAAAAAACAAACAAGGTCATCCTATGTTTGCCTGAAAACGTTCATTTTTTAGAATGCATTAGTGAAAAATACGTCAAAAGGTTTGACCATGCCCGCCCGCAACCTAGAGAGCAGCGAGACAGCGATGGCAAGGGTTGCAGCTCTCGTAAAACTGATCGGCACCGGCCACTGCAAGTGACACCAGACTGCGGGAGCCGTGTTCATCTGTCTTCAGGACAGATTGATAGTTACTGAAACACGAAGAATGGAGATCCTACCTTTACTCTTCCAGTTCCATCATCAGATTCCAGCGCACCACTTCGCGGTGCTTTAAGGGCCAATCCGTTCTTATCATCAGTCTAAAAATCGCGCACGTGAAATGTACGCCCAGACTGCCTTCTAAATGTAAGATTTGATGTCCTGAAGCGTGCAAAGGTATTTGCTTCGGAAGCGTCATTATTTTTGTCCACCCGTTGGCCACGGCTCAGTATTAGCTATTGGGCCAACGCTGGGCAATCTACGGAGACTGCAGCGCCTGGCGCCGAGGTTTTTGTTGCTAAGGTTTGCGAGCGCACATGTTAAAAAATCACTTTCACAAATCGCATCACTTATCGATTCTGACTGCATGTTAGGCATTTCTAAAAAATATGACTTGTTTACCACTCGATCTACAATAAAATTTTCATCATTAAATTTAGATAAAACATCGATCTGCAGTCGACCTTCGCGATGTCTTTAATGTCTGTAAAGACCAGATTAAACATTCTGACAAACATTCTGAATTCTATCGGTTTATAAGGAGCCCACTAAACCTATTAAATCTAACAGCTCATTAAGGGTACCGGTGATTTCTTCCATCGGTCGTTCAACGCCCGATTTCTGCAGTTTATTGACTTCAAAATCCAAACAGAATCAACCTCACCGTAACTTCTGGCTTCTGTTCTGGTTGCAAGGTAAAAATAGCCATGAAACAGATAAAACCGTATCCCGTGTTAACAAGCAAGCTATGCCCGGAATTTTGGGGGGTTCACCATGAGAGGGGCACTTGGCAACCCTGTGCTTCCCCTTAGCAAGGCCCTGGCTACGCCCCTGCGTACACACAAAAGCAGATCAAGTCGTATACGTTAAATGATGGGCAATTTAGTATCCCTTGGGCCAATTCATACCTCGGGCAGGCAGCCTCCCGGAGGCTTTTTCTGAGGTGGTGTGGTATAAGGAAAGATAATTGAGGAAAGGATAGTGTTGCAGGTGTCCAACATGTTTTACACACCAATAAGTAGCAATGCTGATCTAGAAGCAGGCAACAAAGCGACCATACACTCAGTTCGCAATTAACCATGCGGGATACGGCCGGGCCTGGGCAGTGGCCGCTGACGGCGGACAGGAGCAGGTCTCAGATCAGGATATATGACACAAGCCTTTTTATTCTGTGGCTTGGTTGTTAAAGGAGAATCTCAAGTCTCATGGCTTTTGTCACATTGTTTTTAACAATTCCAAGCTTTCGAATTTGTGTCCGCCTAAACTGCTGCGACAAGCCTTATCTCTTGAAAAGCAGCCAGCCAAATGAAGGCGCGTGAAAAATCAGTCGCACTGTGAGCCATTGATTCATATTCAAAATTCTCACCAGCCTTTTCCTGTCTGTATTTTGGGATTCGCCCTTTGAAGGTAGATGCCTTCTCAATGACCCAAAATGCCTACACGCCCGTGGAATTTCACGTCTCCAGGAAAGATTATGTTGAAATGGACGAAAAATCTTCGGAAGCTGGATAGCCTATTTGCCGAACGACGTAGATGAGTCGAATAGGCAAGATTGCGCACCAGTGAGAAACAGCTCTAGATGCATATCTAGCACAGCAGCAATGACATTTGAGTAAAAGCGATAACAACCTCCAACTCTACCTCCCGCGTTCATCGGGCTTGTTTTCCAGAAAAAGTTCCTGAAGGACGCCCTGAGCTTAGTCCCCCACTTTTTTGAAACGTTCTTACGTCTATGCCCCGCCCCCTTCAAAATGTACCGAATTTGATCACTTGGTATCGGAATGCACGACGTTCTTGCTTTCGCCTTTTATCTTTTTCAATTGAAGCAGAAGCCGGAAGCCCATGGAAGATACTCTGCTGCTTGCATCTTTAAATCAATGATCTGAAGAAACCGCCGAACCACTATGCAGTGAAAAGCGTCGGTACATTATTCCATGCAGTTATTTATCACCTGGTTTTTCAGTTAATTAAGTTATTTAGTTACTTGACGTGCACTTAGAATCCAGTAACAAACTAAATAACCAGCTAAAGCGAAGAAACCAGGCTTAATTAACCACAGCAAATTGGTCAGTCGGCACTATATGTCTTACAATGGTTCAGTAAGTTCCTAGAACTCAATGCCACCGATACACCAAGAGCATTCCAAGGGCTTTGGTTTGCAGAGATATTGATGACTTCAGGGGACGGTACGTTGACTTGCAGATCGAAATGGGATGAAAAATCAGTAAAAAAATAAAGATGGTCACCCCATAGTCACGTATGAATATTCAGCCTTTGTTCAGCATTTATGCATAAATTCGTACGTTTAGAATGTAGTCCGGGCTGTATAATTCGCCTGTGCGATTTGCAGATTGATGACGGGAATGGATTAACATGTTAAAATACTTTCGGAAACACTATTTCACGATCCATGGTCCCTTTTGGCGAGTTCGGCGCCTTGCCGCCTGATGATAGTTGCAGCTGCTGACGCCGCTCTGCTTGGTGAGAGGTGTGGCCCCGGGCAACGATGGCCTTGCCCCTAACATTGTAAGTGGGCTATGCTCAACATTGTTTGATATAACGTGATTCACTAGTCGTTCTGGAAGCCAATGGATGTCCTCAGACAAAAATGGGCTGGCCATATCAATACAATATTTGGCGTCATCTCGATCGACCCTATTGCACACTAAGAGACAATTTACCTTCTCCGGGCAGCGGGCCCCGTGTGAGAACATTAGGGGCACATCATCTCTCCCTGGCACGGGAACTCTTCCATCCTATCCTGGGATACCATCCAGCTGCCAATCTGACGAGACGGGGATACGGATGCTCGGGTCGGTCCTGAGGCCGTCAGGAGGACTCATGTTGCACGAGTCCTCTCCCTACCACAGGAGGTTGTCTGGCCAAAACAGTTGGACCCGGATGGATGCAGGCGTCCTCCCTACCACAGGAGGTTGTCTGGCCAAGGCGGTTGGACCCGGATGGATGCAGGCGTTCTCCCTGACGCAACGGTACCCCTTCGCAGCGTAGGGAATCCAGTCATTGGTACCGGCAATCAAAATAAGCCTATCGGGCCCTTAGCTAACATAGGAAAGATTTGCTTTTTGATTGATTTGACTTGCTCCCTTTCAGTGCTAGGGCCCCTGAATGACGCTGGCCCTTTCCATTGTCTCATTGTGGACTCTTTCATTGTAAGTTACCATAGCTCATTGCATTGTCAGAGGACCCTCGTCCAGCTCAAGAGACCCGCTGACATACGGGGCCACGTCAACGTCGCTGCTCAGCAGGTGTGATCCTGCAGACTCCTCTCCTCCTAGCACCACGGGACCCCCTGTCAGGCACTGTGGTCCATGAGCGATGCAGTGGGCCCAACAGCAGACCCCGCACTTGTCCCCGCTTATGACCGACATAGATGTCCCGCATTGTCGCAAATGGCCCCGATCGTTGCTCAAGACCCTCTGACCGTCATTTTGAGTTTCCGTCCATTCGGTTCGAGGCCTCTGAAAACGACATACGGCTCGCCCCTCGGGTCCCTAGCCGTCGATCCAGAGTGGCCCGAAGGGCCTCTCTCGTGACCGGCGGGGGGGGGGGGGTACGTCCCCTGCGCCCATCCCCCTACGTGCGCCCCTGGCTGGGACTAGTCCTGGTGATACGCGACGCTTCTGATCGGTGCGATCGAACAATTAGCAATGATAAGACGTATTTTAGCAAAGCCCTCAATAAGACGAAGCACGGTGAAACTGCTTGGCTGGATTGTTTGCGATATCGTTGGCTTGGGTAGCTTTCTTCGCTTGTGTCGCACCAAGACCGCCCCCAGCACGTCGTCCACAGGTGCTCCAAATCGTGTTGGACAGGTCGATGCAATTTCTCCGCCGAGAGAAAATGCCCCGAATGCGAGCGTTGTATAAGCGGCCTGGTGCGGTTGCGCGGCAACAGGCTCGATCCGGCCAGAGTACACACGGCGTGACCACAACGGCGCCCGCCGGCCCAGCAGCCGCGGCGGCCCGGCGGCCAGAGCTGGTGACCGCGGCAGAGCCGGTGCGCTGACGGACCTGGGTGCTATGGGTGACTCGGTGTATGGCCGGCGCTGGCGCCGCGCCAGCGCCGGCGGCGTCGGCGGTCCGCAGCCGCCTAACCCCGATTACCTCAGCGTCCCGCTCCACATACAAACGCCGGTCCCGGTGCATGCGGGGGTCTGTGTTGGGCGCCGGCCGGTCCGCGTCCGCGGCTCACAAACTGCACGGAGCACACATGACGCCGCCCGGAAAAAGATACCTGGGTAGTGAAGGAACGCTGGCGCACGTCCAGTGTGGCGCTATACAGGGACGCACTGCGAGGTAGATGAACCACTCTCCCATATTGCACGGTTGCACCGATCGCTCGCGCGGCGGGGCTGGCTGGCCGAGCCAGGCGACGCCAACTTCTGACACTCACGGCGAACAACGACGGTGCCAGGACACGAGGTCTGCTCGCCCTGCACGGCCGTTTCGGCCCTTAGCATAGGTGACTTGCATCACTACCATGTCACTGCTCTGAGGTCCCGCGGCACCGGCACGAACAGCGCGGCTTCACGTCCCCACCAATCACCTGTTCGGGGTGCGAAGCGCGCCGTGCATGAACTGGCGATCAAGTGACCCGAGTTACACTGCGCCAACGCCGTCGCGTGGCGCGACACATCTGCCAGTCGTGTTAGGCCCACTGGGTTACCGGGTTACTGGGTTACCCCGGGCAGTAACACGTGCCTCGGTGGGTATTACTCCCGGCGGAAGTACTTTCCCCGCTTGTCATCGTGCCCTACTGAAGACAGTGCGCGATCGCGACTTGCTGCATGCATATTACGTTGGTCCCAGTCGGGAACACTTCTGTTCATCAGACAACACTGGTCCTTTTTTGCGCTGCCGCCACTCCGGGTATAGCTCGCTATTCATCAAAGCTGATCAGCTGTAGACAGGCGGAGGCGCCGTTGGACACTCTCTGACAGCGCCGAGACCAGTCCGCAGTGTCGGCCGGCCATCATCTGACGTTAGCTGACCACCCTCCGATATCGGCCGGCCACCCTCTGACGTCGACAGGCCACCGCCTGACGTTGATCGGCCACCATCCGACGTCAGCAGTCAGCCGTGGTGGCGGCGCGGCCGCCGGCGGGTCCGCCAGCGGCGGCGCCGCTTCCGCCGCCGTCGTCGCGTCGGGATGACGTTCACGTCGGAGTCGACGAGGCCGGACACGCTCTGGCCCACGCCGCTCACCAGGTCGAAGCCGGCGAACGTGGCGAACAGCGAGCTGGGACCGGGCTTGCGCTGCGCCCGGCAGCGGCGGTTGAAGCGCAGGCGCGACGGCCGGCCGGAGAACAGCGGCAGGTCCTCGCCGCAAAAGACGTACCTGGCGCGGCAAGGGGCGATAGTCGGGACGGAGCGGACAGACGGCGGACAGCGGACGACAGACGCGACGGTGCGTCACGCCAGCGGCCCTTGCTTTAAATCAGTGCTTTGATGTCAATATTATGCGATCTGACCGGAGCATCATTGAGGAGCGTCGGAAAACGCTAGTGGTTGCAGTGAAAATACACAAATTAGCTAGGCACCACACTTCAAATTAGCTGGGCATTTCAACACCATTTAGAACGTCACCCTGATGTTATGTAACATAAAACAGCGGCTCTTTAAATGGCCCTTTTTCGTACATAAGCTTCGTAGACAGAGTCTAGTTGGGACCTAATTACGAAGCATGCGGAGCCCGGCCTGTCCGGCTGAGCACACTCCATCCCCGCTCAAGCCCGTAGTGTGGGTGGCTTCAGGGGAGCATCTCGTTACCCTCGCCATCCCACAGCCCCAGGGGTCGGGCCACGCGCCAGCCGGGCCTCCGCGGCCCACCCACCGCTGTCACTCCATCACACTCCATCCCCGCTCAAGCCCGTAGTGTGGGTGGCTTCAGGGGAGGATCTCGTTACCCTCGCCATTCCACAGCCCCAGGCGTCTGGCCACGCGCCAGCCGGGCCGCTACGGCCCACCCACCGCTGTCTGGACTCGACGCTGACGGCGAGCACGCGGTTGACGTGGATCATGGGCTGCGAGAGCAGGCGCCAGGTGAGCGGGTTCAGCAGGGACGAGGCGTAGCGCCACTCCAGCTCGATGGCCGTCGGCTCGCCGGTGAACGACACCGGCGTCAGCGAGCTGTAGTCCTGGCCCGGCTTCGAAGAACATGTCGCTGCAATGACCGGCACCAACGACGCAACATGTCAGCGTCGTCCGACCGCGCCAGGCGCTCAGTCAGGCCGTTGGAGCTTCGCGGGATCGGGAGATGGCCGAGGGTGGTGTCATTGCTTGACGAGATGCGGTAGATATACTATGCGTGGAATAGACCATGGTGATCTAGTAATCCATAATCGTTCGAGGCCCCACAAAGCAGCATGATATCTTTTGAGTAGAACTGTGAGGTGCCACGTTCTTCAAGTGACAAATTGATTGGAACAAAGTCCAAATCGCCTGTACTGTAGTGACTTACAACTATACGCCACCGAAAACCAGTTAGCTTCGACAGCAGGATTTCGTCTGCATTGTTTCTATAAGATGTCTAACTAGTTTTCAGTACAGTAGCTCAACCTCATATCAACACAAATGGTGCACACCATGATACATGCGATCGCATGTGCTACGTGCATAATTAGCATTCCCGCGGTGTCATCGCGCTGCCTCAGCCAGCTGCTGCGTCGTCGTAGCCGGAGGCCGTCACGGTCCTGCCTGCGGCGGGGCTGCGAGGACCTCCGTAGCGCTTACCCCTGGCTGAAGCGATGCCAGGCGCTGCTGTTCTTGGCGCTGTGGAAGCGGACGCTGAGGGTGCCCATGTCGCCGCCGTGCCGGACCGCCGCCGGGATGTCCGACAGCGAGACGGTGACGCGGATGTGACGCCCTGCGCGCGGGGTCACACCCACCGGCGTCACGGAGAGGCGTCACGCGGGCCACAGCCAGGGGGCGTCAGAGCGGAAGGGATCACGTACAGAACGGCGGATCACGTACAGAACGCACAGATCACGGTCATGGTGACAGGGGACCACAGCAAGAGGGAATGTCGCGGTGAGAAGAGGTCACAGCGAGAGGACGTCGCAACAAGAGATCACAGCGAGAGGAAGTCAAGGTGAGAGGAAGTCGCAGCGAGAGGAGGTCACAGAGAGAGCCACCGCGAGGGGTCACAGCGAAAGGCGGTCAAAGCGAGAGGAGGCCACGGTGAAAAGAGGTCACAGCGAGAGGAGGTCAAAGCAAGAGGAAGTCACAGCGAGAGGGATCCACAGCGAGAGGTCAAGGCAAGAGGAGGTCACGGTGAAATGACGTCACAGCGAGCGATCAGAGCGGTCGGATTTGCCGCGAGAATACCGTCAAGGACGCTCACGATTCTGTAACATCAATGTTCTGTCGTTGAGGTGTTGTGATGTAGCGAGTACGCGGCAAAACCAAGCTGATCTGCTGGGCTGGGCGGACGGTCAGGTGGACCGTTCCAATGTTAAAAGGAGCCGCTAAAATTGTGCCCTGTCGTCCGGCATTGCCAGCGGCATCAGCGACAGCGGCTGAGCGCGGTGGCGTGGAGAGCGGAAGGCGAGGCTCTCCAGTCCCGAGTCACACCGCTAGCAGCGGCGCGCCCCCCCCCCCCCCCCGGAGTGTTCCGCCCGGACCCCGACCTTGGTCTCCCTGGAGGACCGCTCCGCCGGCCGCCCACGGTCACTCACTGCAGAAAGGGACCGCGTTGCCGGTCATCAGGTAGAAGGTGCGGCCGACGGGCGGCGGCACCAGCCCCAGCAGGTCGAAGCGGCGGCTGACTCAGCTGGCGGATCTTGGCCCGGTCGAGCGGCGTCAGGTGGCGGTCCGCGTGGTAGCCCAGCCGGTGGCAGTTGCCGTGGTCCGGGGAGCAAATGCCGCACTCACCCTGCGCGAACTTGTCGTAGCTGCGGGCACGGTGCGGCGGTCAGCGGTACCACTCAGCGGGACCAGCGCTCGTGGGAAGGATCAGCAACGACCAGCTGAACGGTCACGGTGGTCGGCACTGTTATAGGGCATAGCCTGGGACTGGAGAGCTCTCATGTAGCCGATCCATGACGCGCTACAGTATTTTCAAATCCGGTGGCCTCATTAACGTTGGTGATTTGATGATTCAACACACATGGCATTTTAAAGCCGGGGAGGCCTGGAGAGACGTCTGGAGAGACCTGGGCCAGAACAGGTAGCTTGATTCATTGCTTCCGATTTAAATTGCGCGCAGTGGAGGGAGGGGCGGACCTCGCCACCCCCGCTGCCTGCCATCAAGAGAACTGCAGAAGATAACGCAATATGAAGACATACATCTCTGAGATACTTCCTTAAGCGGCACAACCATTGAATACAGTTTCCATTTACCTAGGGTCAGATATGAAAGTCAGACCAAGGTCGAAACGAACCTGTTTCATAACTCTAGACCTTGCTGTATGGGGTGGTTTGTGGTGCTCATTTCAAAGTGATTGATGACAGGAACCGCATTGCACATTTGCCATGGAGTTCTTAATGGTCACAACAGGTCACTGACCTAGAATGACCCAGGTGAACTTGTTGTTTTTAGATGTATAATGCTGAGTGTAATATTTGTCGTTTATTCAAATGTAAAACTCAAAGCAGTCTTCTATGATTTTGGTCATCATGACCTTCAACATGCCAAACAACGCCACTGACCTGAAATGATCATGTGACCTTTTGCTTAGAATAGTTATCTAAATTCTGGGGAACTTTATTAACCAACTTTGAGTTTGACCTTGTTTGACCTTATTTTTCTCGGTCATCACCTAGGAACCTCAAACTTTGATCAAGGTGAGTTCGCGTACCGGCCAACACGCGCTGTAAATTCAATGTCTCTAGCTCTCTTAGTTCCTGAGATTTCAGGGGGTCAAACTGACCCCCACCCGAGCGAAGGGTATCCAAGCGGCCAAGCGGGCGCGTGTCAAGTGCACTGAGGTGGAACTAAGTTAGGCTGTTGACATGATACACGATGCAATAGAAATGCAACATTTGACCTCATCCCCACCCCAGGCAGGCAGCGCTCCCCTCTGACCTGTCGCACTCAACAGCCATGAAGCCACACTGGCTGTTGATGGACTCGGTGAAGAACTCGTACGCCCGCAGGTGGTTGCAGCCGATGAAGCGCCTCAGGCCTGCGAGCGGACACCGGGTGGGCAACCGGTGAGTTAGTGCCTCCGGGGTCGACAGGCCGGCGCCGACCCAGTGACCGACATGGACGCTCGCTGACTCATTCACTGCAATCTGTCACCATGTCACTTCTCCATGATGCAGTTCTCATGGGCGCTGCATGACGTACAGCAGTCGATGCGCCCTAAAACCCCAAATCATCATCATCATCCATGATGCAGGCTAGCCGTTGGTGGTTTGAGAGACTGAGTTTGCAGGAGTAGCACAGTCATATCATGATAAATCCACCCCATCCGTTGCCCCGCCGCTTTGCAAATGCCGAACCCATCCAATATCCAGGCCGATGCGCCACAGAAGCATATATCTTCCAACATACCCCCATCAACTAAGCACTTAATATCAAATCCCGAATGCGGCCGCACGTGGAGGCGCATTTTCTGACGCGTGGTGTACCAATATGATTTGTAATCCGACCCAATCGGCTTCCTGCCGTTCCTTGGTGCTGCCTAAGACTTGAGCCAGATCCAACCCTTGGTCACGTCGTCGAAGCTTTCCTGGTCTCGTCTAGTCAAATCCATGGCTTAATCCTAAATCCATAGATTCATAGAATTCCAGGACAACTCTATAATCTATGTGATCGGAGCGCCGAGCTCACGAAACAAAAACATTGCATCGTCGTCTTCGCCCCGGTGCGAACTCGTTCGTGTGTTGGAAGAAACGTCCAACCTTGCGCGCGCACCAAACATCGCTGACAAAGAGAACGCGTCACGGGCTGTAGGCACCAGCCGCCCGCATCGGCATTGGAACCAGCTCAGTCTGGCCAGCCGTACCGTAGATGAGGCTGCCCTCCTCCTTCTTGATGGCGTCGAAGACGCTGGTGCCGCAGCCCGGCTGCTTCTTGCCACCGTTCGGGAAGAAGTCCATGTGACCGATCGGCTGCAGCAGTCCCAGGCCTGCGGACAGCAGCACATGTGCGTTGTTTATGCCTCAGCCCCTGTTGCGTATATAATAAATACAGACGACTGGCATGTTATTGGCTACGTGAGGGCATGCAGTCCTGAGGTCGTGACGTGTGAAGGCTGCGATATTGTCCGAAGAAGTCTGCATTATACCAATATGATAGTCCGTAAACAAAAGCTTTTCAATTCAAACGTTGAAACATCGGACTTTTCTTGGAATATCGTATAAAATATTGTAATATCGTGGTAGAGTGACGACTTAAAATCACAAGCCAATAATACTAGTGAACAGAGTACTGGGCATTCAAATACAGATGAGGCAGATACAGGTAATACAGATACAGGTAAAACGAACGCATCGTTTCGCTATTGCTGAGGCGCTAAACAAAAATACACGTTAGGCATTGCTCTCTGCCATCGGTTTTGCAGAGATCCTGATCACTATCAAATTACACGTTATATAATCAATAAATTAGTTATTCCTGTACCGCACGTTTGTAACTAGCTATCAAAGCCTGCTCTTATTGTTCGGACCAGCTCTTGTGTAAACATTAAATGGGCTCTGTGACGTCCTTCACAGCCCCGCAAACCTGGTGCAACCAGGTCCAATGTCGTCACTTATCTGCCTTTCCCGTTAAACGAGCGCACCGACAGTCGAAACCAAATACGTCGAATCCACTGAAACGCTGCTAATACGTTGATCATTCTTCGGACGATTATTGCTAATTGTGTTATCAACACTGAACTCGTATGGCACAAATTAAACTTAAATCAAGTTGAGATGTAGAAATTCACGTCAAGTAAGTTGTTAAAAGTCGGACCGGCTGAGGTGCTAAGCTTCTCACAGACCGTTCACAGTGCAGAGAGCGCACCAACTACGCATCAAAGGGAAATGCCAGTAGCAAAACGGCCTATTCACTCGTTTCTCGGGAACTGTGAGAGGAGAAATTGACTTAGAGTGATGAGCTCAGCGCGAAACGCGTCGAAGAACTCCCGACACCAGTGGATCCGAGCCCATGACACATCGCAGGCAGTACCCGCCTCGGCCCCCCAATTCGCCACACCGTGCGAGCTGAGGGTGCTGGGAGAGACAGTGCCACGCATGGAAGCAAAGCGCGGCGGTGGATCGATAGCGCGAGAAACCATACGAGACCCCCAGCGCGCTGTCAACACGCTAGAAACACCGCACCAGTGGCAGTCCGTGGCAAGGCCCCGAATCCTTTGCGTCTTGGGTGCCAGAAGCAACCCAATGAAGGCACGACTCACGCCACCATCCAAAGTACCGGAAAAGGCCATATCGAAGTCCTGCCTCGAGTGCGGCAACGACCGAATTCCGACCAGGCCCGCTTCACATCGGCTGATCATAAGCACCGGAAACCCATTTCCGTTCCGGATACCGGAATCCCCCCCCCCCCCCCCCCCTGTCACGAGGCCCTGAACAAGTTAACCACGGCGTCTCGTATCTCGGGCGCAACGAGCTGCCGAGCCTGACGCAAACAACGGACGCCATATCCGCCCCAGCTGGAGCCCACCACGCCCTGATCACCGCCGGCGGGCACGACTTCCACACAGCTGGTCACGGTCAGACAACTGATGAGCTGTTCACCGACGCGCGCGGATGTGAAGGTTATCAGCTTAGGACACTGGCGTCTGCTCTCTCGGTGCGGAGGCAACGGCCACCGACGCCGGGCCGCTGCCGCCTGCGGGCCTTACCGCCCGAGATGAGAGGGCCGCTGTCGGTATGGATGACGTCGACGAAGCCGGCGTCCGTGGGGTCGAGTCGCACCACCGGGTCGGTGTTCTCGAAGTGCGGCTCTGCCGGGTCCAGGCCGGTGATCCTGCCCAGTCGCACGCCACGCTGCTGCAAGAACACGCCCACGTAGCCGGCCAGGTGGGCGCCCAGGCTGTGGCCGATCACGTGAACCTGCTCGGGCGGCGTGTCGAAAAGCTTCTGCGGGGGGGGGGGGGGCACGGCCAGGTCAGCGGGGAACACGGAGATCGGCCCACCTACGTCTTCGAATCACACCCTCCTCTCTCATAGGCCCCAGTGATGGAACGGGGTCAATGGGGCACGGTTGAACTGGTTCACGCACTGCATGCCCCCGCCTATGAGGCCCGACCGATGCAGACAGAGACGATACACGTCCATGCCTCGCTCCCAGCGAGTGCAGCAGGCCACCACGGCTGATATTTCTCTAGAACATCTTGAGGAGATTCCGGCAGTGGGAGTTGCGCGTCTGGTGGCACTGGCACTGGACACCCGACTCGCCTTCAGCAGGCGGATGAAGTTGCCGACGACGGCGCCCACCAGCCGTATGTTGGCCACCGCCTGGGTGTAGGGCGGTCCGGAGCCGCCCACCCAGTCCACCACCACCACGTTCATGGGCTCAAACTCCAGCAGCGCCGCAACCATCCTCTGCAACGGCGCCGACAACATGTCACGCTGCCGGCCGTCTCCATGCGTATTGTGATTCGGCAAGCTGTGCCATTGTCATACATATACAATTATACACACACAAATAGACACGCCTGTAGATATGCGTAAATATACCGATGCATTATATATATATATATATATATATATATATATATATATATATATGTGTGTGTGTGTGTGTGTGTGTGTGTGTGTATATATGTATATATTTGTGTGTTTGTGTGGGTGGGTTGGTGTGCGTGCGTGTGTGCGTGTGTGCGTGCGTGCGTGCGTGCGTGCCTGCGTGCGTGCGTGCGTGCCTGCGTGTGTGTGCGTGCGTACGTGTGTGCGTGCGTGTGTGCGTGCGTGCGCGCGTGCGTGTTTTTGTGCGTGCGTACGTACGAAATGTAATCAGAAGGACCACAAAGCAAAACTAAGGTTTCTATGGTGTGGATTGCGTACATTAGATATACCTTAACATATACCCTAATATGTCATAATACCTTAATCCAGCGTTTCTCGCCCGAGTCCAGATAGCCGTGCACCAGGAACTTCACCGGCTTGCCCGCCATGAACGATGACGTCCCAATGGACTGGATGTCGTCGTACATACGCTGAAATAACACAGGCGTCGAGACGGGCAGTGTGATTGACGCTGATAAGGTTATTGCGTGGCGTGAGAGACCGGGATGCTTGTTAACTGAAAGTTGATAGCACGTTAGCAGTAAAGCGGGTGTTGCAAACCGGAGACATCATGTAGCGTACAGCTCTCATTACACGAAGATCACTTCGCATACAGATGCTAAGCAAGGCGGTAGCAGATGAGAAGGCTAACGTCCTTGGGCGTTGCCTTACCTCACACTCGGTAGGGTTGTTAGTGGTGTAGAGGCAGAACTTGACGTTGATGGCCTTAGGTGACTGCGGCAGGACGCTGATGGGTCGAGAGAGTGAAATCCACTCCTTGGTGATAGCAAAGCAGCCGTATATGCCGTAACATTTCTTGACAAGCGCTGAAATAGTCCCCGCTCTTAAGTAGTCTAAACACAAAATGCTACCTGGATAAGACAGTAGTATTAGCCTTATTCCTCGGAAAAAAGGACAATGGAGATACAGTTAAGTTGATATTTCAGCAACATGCCGTTATCAAAACCATGGCATAAGTGTTATTGTTTTATATTTAGAACATGCATCTTCTGCTATTGTTTCGATAAAGGCATGTTGCCGAAATATCAACCTAACTATATCTCCATTCTCCAGTTTTTTCCCGAGGAATAAGGCCAATACTACGGTCTGACCTCTGTGCATAATGTTCCTCACTAGCGCACTGAACAACTTACAAAATTTGACCACTTCGGTGTGCTTCGTGTGCATTGTGATCCTATGGAAGCCAGGGGTGGGGTCTTGGATGTTAAGCTGACGACCTGACTTGCATTTTCGACAGCATGGGCTGCTTAGTCCCACGTCGCTGCACTCTGTTTTGTTCGTTCGTAGGAAAGTGCTCCTCGCACCACAACAAGACAAAACAACCATGAAGTGAAAAAGGACCTTCTGAATCAAGCAAGCTACTTGAGGAGTGATCTAAATGTGCGTTCAGCAAACTTCTAAACGGCTCAGTATTCACCGATGCTGTCATGGTGTCCAGTGGAGGGCTGGGTTCAGAGCAACTGCCACGACTGTGTCTCTCGGTCTGCAGCCTCGGGGAGTCAAACTGGCACGGCTGCGTCTCCTGGCCCACAGGCTCGGGGAGCCAAACTGGCACGGTTACGTCTCCTGGCCTGCAGGCTCGAGGAGCTGAACTGGCACGGCTGCATCTCCTGGCCTGCAGGCTGGGTGAGCTGGACTGGCACGGCTGAGCCTGCCGCCTCCTGTGTGGTCCCCGGATGGGGGACGCAGCGCCGGCTGCCGCGGCGTGTGCGGGCCCGGGCCCAGGTACTGACCTGTGGTCTCGTTGTCGCCCAGCGGCACGGTGCGGGCGGCGGCGCGCGGCGCCGGCTGGCACCCAGCTACGCCCAGAAGCGTCACGCAGCAAAACACCACCAGGCCGGGGAGCGCCGCCGCCACCATCGCAGCGGCAGCCGCCTATCGCACACGGACGTCACAGACCGTCACGTCACGTCACAGACACGCCATCGACCGTCACATCTTGAGTCGGCGCACCAGGTGAGCACGCGGCAGCTGTGCTACTAGTGCCATCAGGAGCGTGCGCGAGTATGGCGAAGAAATACATGCGCGCAACAATGAGTCCATGCACCGCTTTTTTCACCGAAATCCAACGCTATTGTGACCGTACTCGATTTTTTCGGGATATCGCCAAGGTGATCTTCCAGTTCGAAAACAGCGCGTGGTCAAAACCTAATGAATGGTTAAAAAAGCATATTACTTCCAACTTATTGACTCGCACTGATTCGATACCAGCGTTACAAGGTGTGGTACCACTTTTGCAGCTCCTTTCAGCATAAAAGCGCTTGAATATGTGCAAAACCTTATAAGGTGCAATGACGCATATGTTTAAAACTACGATATGTCATAACCCACCAACAAACCCTTCATCTTTTCACTAATCTGCTTCACGCAGCAGGCGACATTTGTTGTAGGTCAGCGGTCTCGACGGACGAGGGGTGCGCACTGATGATTCAAAATCGATAGCGATAGGTTTGTAGACACACCCCTGGCATTTGAAACCAAACCATGTGTCATACATAGACGATTAACCATATCCAAACTTAGAAAGGCCACCTGACTAACACAAATGATTTGCCAATCTGTCCTGAGTTTCCATTGCCATAGCAATGAGTTCTGCCATGAGTTCGGCAGAGAGTAACTCCCATTTTGTGATTTTAAACCGATGTATTGGAGGGATGTTGCTGGAGTTTTTCCGCTTAGTCGTCCTGCACGGCTTCACGTTTGACACCATATGACAGTCTAAACGAATTGTAGAGCGATCACTCAAAAGTGTCACTTTCTAAATCGGTGGGGCGGGGGATGGGGCTGGGTCAATAAAGCTGACCAAACCCTTCCTCAAATTCAGATTTCTCTGCGGATTTCAGCCACTTGGCTTTACGTCCCTGATGACAAAATCCAAATAAAAAAGAGCATTTGGTCGGTTTTAAAGTTGTTTTGATGTTGAGAAATAAGTTCCCATTTAAAGCCGTCATGATAGTGTTAATCATCGTATCCTATGATGATATTGATCGGGACGAGCTTAAGTACCTAGTGTAGCAGTGTTTTCGAAGCTTCCTGAATTTCATGGGCCCAATACTCTGATTTTGCTGATATGCATTGCGGGGCTTAGAGAGATCATTCTCAGTGACGCCCTCGCGTGCACTGCCGCGAACATACAAAAGTAGTGTCATTACGTACCACATTCTAGAGTGGCGTCCGTTTTGCGGTGATCAAGATTTTGCGGACCAGAATAGGGCTATAAAGTAGTGATACCTATGAAATTCAAACGGGGTCGCTTAAACCGCTTTGGCAATACCGATACGGACGACCGAACGTGGCATCGCTGAATGACCTCTGGGAGAAGGGGCAACGTCCCACATCGAGACATGTACGACACACCATATCCAACGAACCCCGAGAAGGTGGGTGGAAGGTGGTGGAAGGTGGAAAGGTGGAAATCGCAAGAGGATGCCATTTCACTCCTAGCGTCCATCCACCCCTCTTCCCCCACTCTTGCTTCACAACGTATCCCCGCGACGCTCCGTTTAACTGGGGCAAGCTGCATGCATCAGCCAGGAGTGGGCTGGAGCGCCTGTCGGTGAGGCCCTGTCCGAGCGCCGAGCACACACTCCGTTCAGGGCCCCTATGCAGGCTGGGTCTCCTCGGATGGACCCGCATGTGCATGTAGCCTTGCTCCACTATTATCCATCTCCTTCATCTCACAGCTCTGAAGTGGTTATGACTGGCTGAAAGCACTCTAATCCAATCAAACCAAACCCTTCAAACTACTGGTGACCTTCCGTAGCTCACGACGTCTTAATCATTTCATCATCTGCGTCATGCATGATCCTTCACTCATTCATCACTTCACTTGCAACGCCGTGCGGGTGGTTTCGTACTGCACGCTGATGTCACGGGCCGCCCAGCGGCCGCCGCGGGTCACGCGTGCCCGGCCCGGTCAGCCTGGCGGTCACGAGAGCCGACCCTGTGTCAGCGCTCCTCCCGCCGCCTGGCACGGCCGGCGCCGCCGCCCGACTCGCCGCCATCAACGCCGCCCGGCGTGTCGCAAACACGTGACTGACCGAAAAAAGATCATGCGTCGGTTGCTACATACTTTGGGCCGCTATCACTTTCACCGAAATGCGGTGACAGGGCAGCTGCCGACGCGCGAAAGAGTCTTCTCCTGAGGTGGGTGTTAGCCAACGGCCTTTGGGCAGAGTCCTTGTCACAATTTCAGCGCCCATAGAATTGCTCCTGTGAATGGTTATTTTTAGTATGTCAGCGGAATGGTGTTTTTGGATAAGCTTGTTAGTGTCCAGGGTATGTTTTACCAGACGTGTGGCTACGCAAGCCGACCAGATGAGGTGAGGTTCCCTCGCGTTTCCTTCCTATCTGGTGCCAACGGCCCAGCCGAAGTTTCGAAACACTAACAACTCTTGGCACTGACAAAAATCGGAACAGAAAGCTGTCTTCCATACTTCTCAATCGGTCCAAAATCAGAAAATCTATCGTACCCAAATAAGGACCACCAACTTTCCTATTAATGTTTGCATCCCTTCCAGATTCAAAAATATCTGTTGCTCACTGTGTGTGGTCACAGGTCTGAAGTAATGAACCATTTCATCCTCTTTTGCCAACTTTCTCGACACCTCAGACGCAATCTCTCTGCTATCACGTTACGCAAGTGTAAGGTCCCCGTATTAATAAATTTTTAAACACGAACAGCATGCACGCATTCATGCACGGAATAAAAAACAACAGCGAGGATGGTCGGGTGCTCGCGATGGGCTTTCAGGATCACATCATCACAGCATAATGCTGCGGAATGAGGCGGAGGGGGTGGCGGTGGTGGCGACTGGCGCTGCGGCGAATATCATGCCCGCGGCTGTCTTCTTCTATTTCTTCTTTTGGGGAGGTGTTCAGATTTAAGTGCTATGGCTCACGCACCAATCCTTTGTTTAAAACATTTTTATCGTGCTGCTTGTCGCATTGTCAAATGTAATGAAAAACAAAAACGAGCATATCTTACACGCAACATCACCATATAGCATTATCACATTTTCTACAGCTATAAATATAGCCATTATCCAAGGCGCGTCTAGTCTCAGAAATGTTGTGTCAATCAATTTGCATTGCTTTCGCAGCATTATTATCGCACAAGTGCGACGCAAGCGAGTGGCAAATTAAATGGCTGTCAATTTTTTATTTGGGTTCGGGGTCAAATTAATCGGCCGCAACCATAAGTTGTCTGAGAATCATTGTCAGCAAAAATCCAGATGACCTGGAATAAACCGGCAATGGTCCATGTTGCCCACCGCTTGACCCCTTGGCTTGTGTACCAAGCATGTAGCATGTCTCCCACTTCAGCTGTTTCCTTGGCAACTGCGGGCCCCATTCCAAGTGCCAGTAGGTCAGCTGATACACATGAGGAGGCCCCCGGGAGGCCCGACAGACTTGAGGCCACCACGTGACGCGGGCTGACAACGCCAGCGCCCGATAGTGGTACCGACCGCTCCCCTCCCCTCCCCTCCAAGCGCTTTTTACACCAACAAGTACCACCCAGAGCCGGCGCCTGCCAGCACGGGCCGGTCACCACCTGGAGACAGGGGCCGGGACGGGGCCGAGCGCGGCGTCAGCTGGGGCGCCAGCTGGTCCGTCCAGTCGCCCTTGGCCGGCCCCGTCCGGCGCCGGGCGGCCTTCCAAGGCCGGTCACAGCGGGGCGGCCACATTCCGGCCCACGGAAACGGGGCCAGCGAGACTCTGATATCACCCGGGCCTTCGACGGCCCGCGCGGGCGTGACCAGCCACTGTTGCTGAACGTTCGCCACTTTTTGACGCTCATGGTCACCAGATGCGGTTAGGTTCACGGCCAGAGGGTTGCTCTGCCGTATTTTTTGTGCGTAGATTCTACTCACTGGTGTGTGCTACATAGACGTAAGGCAGACACCACCGCAGCAGCTGCTCCGTACAGCGCAGGGAGAACAAACAGCAATGGTCTCGGTCTCTCGGTTAACTAACGCATTCATCCTGGGTTTTCTGAAAATGATTTAGAATGATCATGTTGCCGCCCAGGCGAGAGATCACCGAATTGGAGCGGACTTTGTGGCTGATGCGAGCCCAAATGCATTCAGTTAACAAATACCTGTCTCATAACATACGGAGGTTCCACACGGCAAGACTCTGACAAACCGGACACATGCTTAAACTTATACGTCTGGCACGATTTCGGATGATAACAGCAAAGCCGGCAAAACGAGCTGAGAGGGCTAAAGTGCTGTCAACGAAGGAGCTACGCACAGAGCGGGTTTCACGGAGCCGGGCGGACACAGAGCCGGAGCCGGGCGGACACGAAGTTGGGAGCGCACGGAGACGGGCGGATACGAAGCCGGGCGCACACGGAGTTGGCGGATACGGAGTTGAGAAGACACAGCGCGAGGTGGACACAGAAACCGGAAGAACTCCTCCGTCGTGACCATGAACATGACATTGTTACTGACCAACGAAAACAAACACAGAATGGCCATATCCGTGCCGAAGGAGACGCGCATGAGGAAATACAACGCCCGGCTTGTCTTCCCTAGTCCTGAATCCTGCGTCTGGGTAAAAGTAAAAACAAATTCACCCGTTTCACGTTGACATGAATATGAAGGGTGCGAGAAAGAGAGAGAGAGAGAGAGAGAGAGAGAGAGAGAGAGAGAGAGAGAGAGAGAGAGAAAAAGAGAGAGACCTATAGAGACCTATATACCCTAGAGAGACCTGTACCTATATGTATATATATATATATATATATACATATATATATATATATATATATATTATCTATATATATATATATATATATATATATATATATATATATATATTGTCTGTGCAAGCGACACATCGAAAATTGATGAACCTGACATAGAAGTCCTATG